TTTCTTTTATCTTACTAGCCTAAAAGTAATGAATTGAAATCGAAATTGACCCTTTTCTTTGTCAATCAAAATTGCAAAAGTTAACAAAACGTTTTAGAAATGATTGGCTAGGTGTTCTTTGTGTGATCGTTTGCTGTCTGGCAAAGCATTCCATCTTTTTCTTTCCTCTATCCTTTTCTTCAGTTTACTTTACTCCAGTTTATTCTCTAGAATATGAAAATCCAGAATTGCCAGAATTTCCAGAACAGTAGAGCTTTTTTTGAATGGAATAGCCAACTCGTAATGAGTTCTTTTCTCTGATTGTGAGATTTTCTAACTCGGAATTTTCTTTCTAAGTTTCTAGCTGTTAAATAACAGCCAGAATTTGGTTCTCTGGCCGCCGTATGTTACTTTGTTCTTATTGAAAAGTCGACAAAGTTTCGTTCGGTTGACATAAATGGTTACTGCGTTGGACTCCTCTCTTTAACGACTTGGAGTTCATTTCCGCTTTGGCATTTCAGAGGATAGGAAACTCTTTTGCATTCTGCTTTTGCATGCTTTTGCTGGTCATTTCTTTGATTAAAATGACTTGAGCGCATAGAATAAACTTGTTTCGATTTGCTTTTAACTTTAAAATGCCCAACTTGTGATTTCAACGGCTTTAGACAAGTTATCAAATCGATTAAAAGGATTAAAATGGATCGATTAAAATCAGAATTTTTTCCAATCCTTTAGAAAATCTCTGACTTTTTTTTGATTGACTTTTGGTCTACAGGATTGCCCACAATTATAGGCCAACTTTGGAAAGTTATATAAAAAAGTTGAAAGCTTGAATCGATTAGATAATGAGCACGGTTCTAGGAAATCTACTTAAGATTTACTTCCAGAAAAATGAGAACGATTGATTTAATTTTGGCAAATCTAGGCCCTTTGTGGGCCACCCTAGATTCGGGCTCGATTCTCGCAAAGCTTGCCTCGCAAAGCTATTAGCCCCGAAATACACCTCCTATATGTAAAATTTCATGCTGAATCCGAATCTCTAATCAGATTTTGAAAATATTGCTGCCTCAAAAAGATATCGGCTCTTTTTGGCTCGTGAGACAAAACGCCGCATTTCTCTTTCTCCAATCGTCTGTTTTCAACGATTTTTGTTTTATTGGATGGAGCTCAGCTAGATGAACATTTCATAGCAACATTATTTTTTGATGAGACTTTATCCCAAAATGTTATGGCCGTTTTACTGGGATAGAGGTCTTCTATAGCGCAGTCGGTAGAGCGTCTGTCTCTGGGGCGGGAGGGGTTTCGTCCGGTGGACCACAATTTCGTCCACCGAGGGACCGAACCGTCCCAGGGCCAGACGGCCTTCGTTTACCGGTAGACCGAATCGTCCTGGGGGCCAGACGGCCTTCGTCCACCGGTAGACCGAATCGTCCTAGGGGCCAGAGGGCCTTCGTCCACCAGTGGACCGAATCGTCCCAGGGACCAGACGGCCTTCGTTCACTGGTAGACCGAATCGTCCTAGGGGCCAGACGGCCTTCGCCCACCGATGGACCGAATCGTCCTAGGGGCCAGACGGCCTTCGTCCACCGGTGGACCGAGTCGTCCCGAACGTGTTAATACCATTCTTTGATTCCCCTTTTGTGTTCAAAACTCTCATTTCATTCAACTTTTCTCCGTTCGACTTCACAAAATCTCACTTTGTACAATTTTCAGAAAAGAAATTGCTTTATTGGTATCATTTTACTTAAAACTGCTTAAATAATAACGACCAGAATGAGAATTTTTCGTTTAAAACTCTACTTTTATACTCGAAGAACTCAAAAACAGTAACTCAAAATACGAAAAATGTGGACACTTTGCTATGAACTTTTCGCATAATAGGCTTTTATAGACTTTATTTTTTTCTTTTTTTTCACCTAGCTAAACTAAATCGTCGTATTTTGTCTGTATTCACAAATCCGAATCGTCTGAATTGTAAAGCTTTAATCGAGTTACCAAATCGGCCTCAAATAGATACCAAATATACCTAAACAATTCAGACAATTCGGATTTGTGAATTCAGACAAAATACGACGATTTAGTTTAGTTAGGTGAAAAAAAAAGAAAGTCTATAAAAGCCTATTATGCGAAAAGTTCATAGCAAAGTGTCCACAAGCCTATTACTCATCACGTTCCGAAATTTTTACTTAGCTACCCTTGAATGGAGAAATCGGAAATCGGAAATCGAGTTCACAGACCATGAAGAGATCTTTCTAGTCTTTCAATCCCTATTTCTACTTTTGCGGTCAGCTGTTGCTCATCGTATTCTTCGTTCTTCGTTCTTTCCTCCTTTCCACTCAAAGGCACCACCCCCGATTAGGTTTCCCCGGTCATGTTCCCCGTGTTTCTTTTTGTGACTCCCGAATGAGCTGGCATTGAGTGAAAGGACATAAATATCACTTTGAGATCTTGCTTCTGTTTTAAACCAAATATTATTCTTATAAATCATTGAATAACTTATTGATTATAAGAGGCAAAGTTTGTGTCAGTGTGTGTTTTTCCGTTCAATTCATAACTCGAATTCCAGTTCGAATTTTGGTCTGATTTTTGGGGCAATAAGTAATCGACTACGGCGCTTTGGCTTGTAAAATCAGATTTGAAAAATCTTTAACCGTTTTTGAGAAAAGTTGGATCAAAAACAATGGCGGTGAGATCAAAGGGATTTTAAGATTAAGAGATTAAAGCTCGCCTAGGGATACTGACGCCTAGGGGTTTTAAGATTAAGAGATCAAAGCTCGCCTAGGGATACTTATCTCAGAATATATTGGGGAGAATATGCTTATCATTTAGCACAAGTAATATTTTGAAAAGCTTTTGTATTGAATGTATTGAAAAGCTGAAAGCGGCAAAAGCGAAAAAGTTCAAATGGTCAGAAGTGACGGTCCAAGAGATGCCGAACGATTTGGGCCGATGCATAGTTTAAATGAGTCAAACTCAAGTATTAATTGTGGATAAATCTTGCCTCTCAACCTCATTTTAGTTATTGAAATTCATATTTAATCGTAAATTCGTAAACTGTAGTAAATTTATCAACAATTAATGCTTGGGTTTGACTCATTTAAACTATGCATCGGCCCAAATCGGTCGGCAGTTAACGCCCGGCGTTTAGCTGGAGGTTAGCTGCCGGTTAACTGGTTAACTGCTGGTTAACTGGTTAGCTGCCGGTTAACTGGTTAGCTGCCGGTTAACTGGTTAACTGCTGGTTAACTGGCTAACTGGTCCTCATAAATCACTGAATGTTGGCCTTTGCATTTGGAGTTGAACATGGGCAATGAACATCGTTGTATTACGATTTAAGTCAGCCAGTCTTGAAAATTTTGTCTTTTTCTCAAAATCTCACCCTTATTTTCAATGAGAATAGATTTGTAGTTAGCTTTCAAAGAACGATTATGTTGCGAAGCAAAAATTGCTCAACAATTCCTTAATTTTCTTAAATTTGCCGTCATTCCTCTTTAACGATAAGTAAACTCCGAGACTCGTAACGGAATTTGAAATACAGCACATCGAAGTAATTGACTTCAAATCTTACTATAAGTCAGTTAAGTATAACATTTGCCAAAACATGAATAAATTGTGCGAGTCCCGACTAATTTCTGAAAACGCTTGCTTCTTGCCATTTAGGGAATTCATAAGTATTGCGTTTTCTAAAAAACACGCGACAATTACCGTAGTCTAATAGCGATCTCTATAAAGGCCTCCAAAATGCCATTTATTCTGATTTTTTCGAAGAGTCGTCGTCATTTCTCTTGTTTTTTTCTTCATCTTTGAGCGTTTTGTTAAGTGTGTGTGTCAGGAAGACCCACTGCGCTCACAGTGCGGTGTTTTCGTCCAATTAAGCAATGGCTGAGCATTTTTGCTTCTTATTTAACAAATATTATCTTTCTAAATATTTCCAGATTTCTCGCATACCGTATTTTCTTTAATAGTAGTGCACCCTGAGCGTTGCCTAAATTCCTCGAAATCTCGAGAACCGCTTATCCGAACTTATTGCTGTGCGGTCGGAAAATGTAGCTGACGATGAGATCTAGTGGGGGATTAGAGTGCTGAGCTTCTGTGAAAGCTTGGGAACTGCAAAATCGTCATCAACTCGGCTCGGCCGGAGGGAGGGGGAGAGGGCATTACAATTAGAGAAAATACAGAATACCGTCTTCTCTCTAATAGTAGTGCACCCTGAGCTTCACCTAAATTCCTCGAAATCTCGAGAACCGCTGATCAGAACCTATCGATGTGGGGTCGGAAAATGTTGCTGACGATGAGATCTTGTGGGGGATTAGAGTGTTGAGCTTCTGTGAAAGCTTGGGAACTGTAAAATAGTCAGCAACTCGGCTTGCCCGTAGAACTACTATTAGAGAAAATACGGTAATATGTATTTTTCTCAAATTCGACCCCTTTTCCCATATTATACTCGATCCGGTAAAACAATATGTAAAACAAACTCAAGATCTCTGGGTTTAAAAACAATTGGCCTTTCCCCAATTGGCTTGCTACCTTGTTTTTCAAATTCTTTCCATGCTTGCTTCATCCATTACCCAACGATGTAGGTGATCGTTGCCTGTAGGTGATCGTTGCCTGTAGGTGATCGTTGCCTGTAGGTGATCGTTGCCATCGCTACCTACATCGTTACTTACATCGTTGCCTACATCATTGCCCTAAATTATGGATCCAAAAACGCTCTATAAAAGATAAGACGAGACAAGATGCCTTGTCTCTTACTTGAATTAGATTCTAGACCATTGATTGCTTAAGCAAGTTTAAATCTTTCTTTGTTTCTTTCTTTCTTACAGCATTGTCACATTCAACTTTCTCGAATCGAATCACTTTGCGGATTACTGGCTAAACGCTAAGATTAGTGGCTAAGCGCTATTTTGATGAAATGGAATTTTGATTTCAAAACATTCATCTATACTTTATATAGATGTTTATCTATTGAAAATGGTTTATTTTACATTTATCTATACGTTATATCGATCATAAATCTTTAGTTCAATCGATGTCTCCAGAGTTGAACCATCGAAATACAAAGACCGATCCATCGGATGATAGGGTAAGCGAAAAACTTGATAACGTGCAGAAGTTAATGTGGCTATTTGTGGCGATGCTTAAGATATTAGCATAGATTTTTTTAGGACAAGCTAGTCAGCCCGACGCCTTCTCAAAAGTCCTACGAGAAACAATCAACATGGAAAGGTTAACTTTGTTTGGCTTCGACTTTGACTCTGGCTTTGACTTTGACTTCGGCTTTGACTCAGCTTTATTTAGCGATTTTAACGAATTTCTAAATCAAAACTTTTAGAATTTTGCGATAAAACAACAGCTCATGGATTTAAACGATACTTGCTGAGCCATTCGAAGCTCAGTTCCTGTTTGTGGTTGTGCCTCATCGGGATTTTCACCACCATTTTCTTGACTCTAGTTCTAACATTGCTATTTAAATGGCAGCGAAGAGAGAAAATCACGACAATATCGGTTGGGAATAGAAATGGGAAAATTCCAAGCCGAACCTAATTCCACCATCGTTTTCTTGTCCGGTTCTTGGCCGGTTCTTGGTCGATTCTTGGCAGATTCTTGGCCGGCTCTTGACCGGTTCTTGGCCGATTTTTGGCTGATTCTTGCCCGATTCTTGGTCGATTCTTGGCAGACTCTTGGCAGACTCTTGGCAGATTCTTGGCCGGTTCTTGGCCGATCCTTGGCCGGTTCTTGGTCGGTTCTTGACCGATTCTTGGCAGCTTCTTGGCCGGTTCTTGGCCGGTTCTTGGCCGATTCTTGCCCGACTCCTGCCCGATTCCTGCCCGATTCTTGACAGATTATTGGCCGATTCTTGCCCGATTACTCTGTAACTTTATCTACAGATAGAAATCGACATTTTCAGCTTGTAGTCAATATCTCAAAGCAATCAACCAAGAAATGGCTGAGAAAACGAAGGTGGAATTAGGTTCGGCTTGGAATTTTCCCATGTCTAGTGGGGACTGTTTGTGGCTGAATGCTTGACAGCTTGTTTAACACGCTTTGACAGCTTCATCTACTAACAAAATGGCTGTAGATTTTGTTTACTGCTTGCAAACAAGTATAGTCAAAAGCTTGAGGTAGATTTTTACCCTGCCTGACTCTCTACTCTTCACATTGATAAAGCGTTCAGATAGAGATAACGGCTTCGAATTTAGCTCGAATAGAGTCAGGGCTGAATAGTTTTATTATTAGCCAATCTATAAAATGACTGGCTTTTCCAACTTCTCTTTTCACAAGTCAAAGAAAAGAAAATCCAAATCAACTTGTGACACTTAGAGTTGACAAGAATTAGAGTTAGAATTAGAGTTAGAATTCGAGAAAGTTCTTTGCGAGTAAGTAATTACTCGAGTAAAATTTGCATGAGTAATTTCTACTCGATTAATCGACGTTTTCTGATCGAGTAACTACGAGCAATCCTCTTTACACGTTGAGTAAATGAGTAAATCGTTGAGTAAATCTTTACATTTCAGGGGAATTTACCACCAAATCATTTAAACGGCTGAATATCTTTCAAAGGAGTCGTATATAAGGCGGCCCTCGTGATTTTTCCGCGCCAATTTTTTGTAATAAAAGTACTAGAAGTACGGTAACTTTTCCCAAGTTCACGTTTCAAAAAAAACGCATTTCTCGCGAGGAACACACTCTAGTTAAAATAGTGCCTTTTTGACATAGAAAAACGGGTTAAACCAAGTTTTGTAGTAATATGGAGCCGCGAGAACGTGTCATGTTACTGAAAAGGGAAGGTCAAGGGATTGAACCCATGACAAGGGATTGAACCGATGACAAAGGATTGAAGCATGACAAGGGATTGAACCCATGACAAGGGATTGAACCCATGACAAGGGATTGAACCGATGACAAAGGATTGAAGCATGACAAGGGATTGAACCCATGACAAGGGATTGAACCCATGACAAGGGATTGAACCCATGGCCTCCCGATTAAGATACAGGGCTCTTAGCCAGTCGGCCATCGCGGTTTTGATAATAATGATAATATAAATAAACGTTGACGGAGGCTATGGCTCTACAAAAGGACCATGGAGACTAAAAAAAGGAGAATTTGGAGATTTCGTGTCATGTTACTGACAAGCGAAGGTCAAATGGATAGGCTGGCAAAATGAAATGAAACGAAATCCCCAAATTCTCCTTTTGTTGAGTCTCCATGGCCTTTTTGCAGAGCCATAGCCTCAACGTTTATGTATATTATCATTATCATCACAACCGCCATGGCCGGCTGGCTAAGAGCCCTGTATCTTAATTGGGAGGTCAAGGGCTCAATCCCGGCTAGATTATTGGTTTCATATACCGTAAAAGCTGTAATAGTAGCCTCGGGGCACTTTCGTTGGCCCTCTGGGGGATCACTATTAGAGGGTGCACTATTGGAGGGTACTATTGGAGGGGGACGACGATGAGAACTTTTACGGTATACGGCTTTTTCTTCCCTACATTTAGAGCTTAAGGATTATGCTTGTGTATTTTTATACCACCTTATTCGTGTGAATAAATGTATTTATTCTGTTGCTTGCATGTGCTTTTTATAATAAATATGCATTTGCTTTCATGTCAACGCGCAAAATTTAAGCGAACAGTCGTATAGGCGATTCTTGGTCGATTACTTTGTAACTTTGTAGATAGAAATTGACATTTTCAGCTTGTAGTCAATATTTCAAAGCAATCGGCCAGGAAATGGCTGAGAAAACGAAAGGGAAATTAGGTTCAGATTGAAATTTTCCCATGTCTAGTGGGGACTGTTTGTGGCTGAATGCTTGACAGCTTGTTTAACACACTTTGACAGCTTCATCCACTAACAAAATAGGGCGTATAGGGCTTAAAAGTTAACTCAAAACAGCTCAAAACAGCTCAAAACTTATCTCAAAACTTAATCACCTTTCAATTTAGCTCAAATTCGACCACGTCGAGTTCCCAGCGATCACTTTTTGCAATTTGAATCCATACAAGCGAAGTCTCATCCAATTGGTGCCAAGTATACGAGATACGGTAAAAAAAATAAGTGCAAAAGGTGCAAAAGACTAACTCAAAGCTTTAGATGGATGTTTACGATAATGCGAAAACTTCAAACAAAGGTGATGATAAGCCAAGGTATTTGCGAAGAGAACAAGCGGCGATGGCTGTGCAAAGGTTTGTTGATTCTTGAAAGAGATGTGCATTAGATTAGGCACGTTTTCAATTCTGTACACAAAATAGACGAGATTTAAGCTTAAAAAGTAAAAACAATGACGTTTAACAAATGAAAATGTTTAAAACAAACAAAGGAAACAAACAAACGTTTAAAATTAGAGCACTTTTTAGAATTCACAATGTGAAAACTGTAATTTTTGAATGATTCTTTTTTTTGTCGCTTCTCAAACAGTTTTAGATTAGACAAACATTTATAGCTTTCTCTGGTGCCACTCCAACAATTGGTGCCTCTCTGGTGCCACTCCAACAGGCATAAATCCACGATAAAGTCCGAGAAGACCTAAGATATTACAAATGTTTTAGGTCTTTAAAAGGCATAAGAAAGAAAAGAGTCACCTTCAAATATTCACGAGCTTATCGAGATATTCACGAATAGGTCTAGTTATGCCGCAATATTAAAGGATTAAGTGTTCATACCTACCGTAAATACTGTAATAGTACCCCTCCTGCCTCGTACAGTCGAGCAAAAGTTTTTTAGTATTTCATTTTTTTCAAAGCGCCCGTACTTTCAAAAAATGCGTCTTTGGTATCAAAAAATAGCCCTGATTTTCAGCTATTTTTTGATACCTAAGCGTGCATTGTAGCATAAACCAGTGTCGAGAAAAACGCGTCCAAAGCTAGACTCCGCACCGTCAACGTCAACACTCCGCACCGTCATTAGGAGGGTGGGGTACTATTACAGTATTTATGGTGTATTCATACAAATATGGGGCCTAAGGGCGGCTATTCCAGTAGAATAGCGACTCTAAACTTTCAAAGTGGATGATGAACTGGAAAGTGAAGATTTCCGGGTACCATTTTGGGCTTCTTTTGCTGTCTGACTAAAAGCTAATGACAATTCTTTCTGAATTCATAACTCCATTCTAAAATTTCCAGAGATGTAACATGTATTTTCATTGATTTATTGAAGAGTTAAACAATTGAAAAGCTTTTTAAGCTTTTTAGAGTACGCGAATTGTTCGCCGATGAGATGAATGATGCGTTGGAGGATTTGAAAGAATCGCTGGAACAGCGGACAAAAAGACAGGTAATGAATAAACTGGAAAACTAAAAATTATGAATATAGATGACATTCAAAAGATTCAAATGCTCAATTTACAGACCAGACGCCGCTATGAAGCCATCGAGGCACACTGCAAATGTGTTGGAAAGCTCGATATGGAATGCATTCGTTTCGCCAGCCCGCCAACACATCAGGTTCTTTTTCTCAATCTTTTTCTTTTCTTTTTCTTTTCTTTTTCTTATCCAATCTTTGTATTCAATCCAAGCTTTTAAACTAAATTCAATAAAAAGCTTACAAACGATACTTAACGATACTTTTAGAATGCAAAATGCGTGTGCACTTACGACCACGAGCAGGGAACAGCTTGGCCGTGTTTCAATCAGAGGTTGGTAAAGAATTCAGGGAATCAGTCGTCAAAGGGAAACAGTCGTCAAAGGGAAACAGTCGTCAAAGGGAACCAGTCGTCAAAGCTTTGGCTTTGGCGTCCATACCAGATTTCTTATTCCAGATTCCAGAAAACATGCCAAGACCTGGGTTCGGGTTTACCAAACTATTGGGTTGGCGAATTGAATTGAAAGTGAAATTGAAAACTGCCCGCTATGCCACAATTTGAGCACTTTCTTCAAAAGAAACCCATTTTGGTGCCAATGGAAAAGTTGTAGAGAATCAAAAATCAAGCTTATATCCAAATTTTCAGAACGATTCAAAAACTGGTTTTCAAGAAATGCCTAATTTACGAATTTTCACAAAGCGAAACTTTCACGAATTTTCACAAAGCATTTTAAGCGAAACTACTAAGTGTATCTTTTTGGAAATTTGGCTATAAGCTTAATTTTTGACTCTCTACAACTTTTCTATTGACACCAAAATGGGTTTCTTTTGAAGAAAGTGCTCAAACTGGGACATCTCCAGTCCTCGATTTTTGAGTCTCACACTTGTCTCACACACAAACCAAAATCCTACTACGAAAGAGGAATCCGCAAATTGCCTGTATAATGGGCAGAAGTCGTCAATAATAATGGAAATTATTTCGAATGAATTGATGGCTTTATGTTGAGTAAATTTTAGTTCAAAGTCCCGCAGTTTTCATTTCACCAACCCAATATTTGCCATTTGCAATCTCTCAGGCATACCATCTAGCAATTTGGTAAAAACTTTGTTTAATAATAAGTCTGTTTTTATCAAATTTTATGGAATTTTATCAGATTTTATCAAAAGAATGCTAAAACCTGATGATTTTTCCCGTATAACTAGCTGAAATTCGCATTTAGTATTTCACTCATTTGTTCAGCGCTTTAAAATCAATTTTAACGGGTATATTGCACTGAAAACTGTATACAACATTTCCAAACATAAAAACAAGAAGTCAAAAATTGATTAGCCGCATAGGGGGCTCGAACCCCTGACATTCAGATTTCTTTCTTTCGTAAAAGTCTGACGCTCTACCAACTGAGCTAATGCGGCCATGGGTCCTGCCGCAGGGAAAAGAGGGCTATGAAGAACCAAGGAAGATCATAGCAACCTACACTTGGCAAGAGCCTAGCAAGACAATAAATTTAAGTAAAACTTTTCAGTATCTGGTACGATCATCTCTGCCCATCTTGTATCTCCGATGGCTACTGCAATGCGTATCTGGACGACACTGATGAGCAAACAGCCTCTTCACCACAACCCTGCAAATGCCGAAATCGTACCAATGACTACGAGGTTGATAATGTACGTGCACGTAACCATTTTTATTCTGTAGACTTTAGCTTTTCCTTTATAACATTTTCAACCCTCCACTTTTAGCGGTATAGTCATGGCCCATGGTTCCTGGTTCGTTTTTATCAAATTTCGTTGCTCACAAAAAGCACAAAGTTTACCCGTAGAGTTTACCTGTAAAGTTTAGAACACTCTTCACACACAGTCAAGCACTGAAATTGTTGTGCAATAGCTAAATACAAATTTAGAAGCCATACTGCATCAGCCAGGCACCGGTGGAGATTTTGAAGCTCTGGAAGCCAGGGAATTTTAGTAAGTTGTGGAGTAATTTGAGGTGTACTTTGTAAACGAAAATGCTCTTCTTCTGGCGCATTCAGTTGATTGATTTTCAAGAGATTGAGTACGCCAGAAATTTAGCGTTTACATGTACACAAATTGCATAAAGTACATGTTCATAAAGTGCATAAAGTACATGATCATAAAGTACATAAAGTACATGATCATAAAGTACATAAAGTACATAAAGTACATGATCATAGAGTGCACAAAGCCATGAACCGACGTCTTTTGTACTATTACAGAACAGGGTGTTGAGCCTATTTCAGGGTTATTTCAGCTCTCGATGCCTCAAATGAAATAATTCTTTTTTTGATATTACATTCTGAGTTACTTGCTCTAGGAAAAACATTATTAGACCAGGCTAACAATTTCCTAAAAGTTCTGATAATTATTTAAAGTCTCCACGTCGGGAATGCCCGGCCGAATTGTGATTTCTTACGATTTTTGTAGGTAATCATAAATAGAAATTTCCGCAAGTAAAAAAAACGGTTTCTTTGATTGAATTTCAATGTTTTATGACTACTTCTTGAATACGTTCATGCTTTTGGGCAAACGTAATCATAACTAGAATCTTAGAGCAATTCATAGTGCCTCGGTCGGGCATTCCCGACGCGCAGACTTGGAATACTTATCAGAACTTTTAGGAAACACCTACCTTTGTTCAATAATGTTTTTCCTAGAGCAAGTAACTTAGGATATGCTAGCAAAAGTAATTTATTAGATTTGAGGTATCAAAAACTGTGTTAGGCTCAATAAATCGATAAAGTTACGCTAATTCTGCCATACCCTGTAGAAAAAACTGGCGGGCACTAACTAGAGAAAGGCACGAAATTCCATTGAGCTTTCCTGTTCAGACCAGATACCAGATACAGGCATTCCCAACGAGCACAATTTGAATCATTATCAGAACTTTTAGGAAACATTTACCTTTGTCTAATAATGTTTTTCCTAGAGCAAGTAACTCAGAATGTACTATCAAAAAAAGAATTATTTCATTTGAGGCATCGAGAGCTGAAATTAGACTCAATAAATCGATAAAGTTACCCAAATTCTGCGGCACTCTGTATACAAAAAGGCTTTAAAACTTTAAGATCCGGACTTTAAAACCAAAAGGTTTTTTTTGGACACGTAGAGAACTAAAATTGTGACTAAAATCGCTAACTCCAAAAAAATGCTTAACAACTATAATAGCTTTACTAAAAACCCCGGTACTTCTGTTGTTGACTAGCTATTTTAGCTACTTGGACAACGAGCACAACGACGACCACGCCGAAACCGACGACGAGCACAACCACAACAACCACTCCAAGTAAAGAAACCACTTCGCTTTATTAACAAATCGACTGGCTTATGATGCTCGATTCAATTCCATTCCATTCAATTCAATTCAATTCAATTCAATTCAACTAGAGAGATGCACACAGATTGATCATCGACTCCAGCCAAACGATAACACCCATTTCATTGGAAAATTCTGAATCATTGGAAAAAAATGAAATAGAGCGCTCAAAGCAGGCCCTAAAAACAGTTTTCAATCATTTTGCTCAATTCAATCAATCAAAAGCAAAAAACTTTGTTCGTGAGCGGGGTTGAACCAGGGAGCAAAAAGTGTAGAACACCCACGCTAATCACTAGGACGTAGCTGAACCAAAAAGTGTAGAACACCCACGCTAATCACTAGGACGTAGCTGAACCAAAAAGTGTAGAACACCCACGCTAATCACTAGGACGTAGCTGAACCAAAAAGTGTAGAACACCCACGCTAATCACTAGGACGTAACTGAACCAAAAAGTGTAGAACACCCACGCTAATCACTAGGACGTAGCTGAACCAAAAAGTGTAGAACACCCACGCTAATCACTAGGACGTAGCTGAACCAAAAAGTGTAGAACACCCACGCTAATCACTAGGACGTAGCTGAACCAAAAAGTGTAGAACACCCACGCTAATCACTAGGACGTAGCTGAACCAAAAAGTGTAGAACACCCACGCTAATCACTAGGACGTAGCTGAACCAAAAAGTGTAGAACACCCACGCTAATCAGTAGGACGTAACTGAACCTTATAAGCTGGAAGAAAATGGTGTATCAGAAATTCAAAGAACCTCTCAAAAATCATGAAATTTGAGGCTATTTTTATAAAAATTTTGTTTACCTAGTACATCTAAGGCCTAATTTTCAGAAAATTCAGAAAATTCAGAAAATTTTTCCCAATAAAATGGGTTTTGTCGTTTGGCTGGAAGTGATTGTGAATCTGTCTGCATTCCTAGTAAATTTCTTTTCACTTTTTTAAAGAACTACTCGAACTTTTGAACTTTGAATACAATTGAATACAATCTTTTACAAGCTAGCCTCTTTTGGTACCAGTTTAGCCTCTTCTAGCCCATGCAGAGTACCCGTTTAGTCTTAAAATTTAAATCACAGCAATAAGCCAGCTTGATCACAACCAGAGAAGCTAACATTTCCGCATGACGCTTAATTTTTCAGCCACCACAACAAGCTCCACGTCCACCACGACAACCACGACGACAACCACAAGTGCATTTTAGATCTAAGGAAATTTTGTTAATGATTTTGCAAGATTTTGCAAGACTTCTACTTCTAGAAGTTTCAAAACTTAGTTACATATCTTCTCAAGTTTCGGTTTTCTTCTGTTTTAATGCACACAAAAGATCAGTTGACTTGAGCAAGTGTGACTATTTTGGTTGTCGGACATTTGATACGTCTTGTCCCTTTTGCCATTGGCAATCTAACTTTAAACTCAAATATCTTGGTCTTCGGCTGTCCAATTTACATATTCTTGGTATCATTGGATGCGCCAAGTCTTTCTCTGTCTATTGGTACAAAAACCATTGAAATTGGACAGCCGAAGACCAAGATATTGGAGTTCAAGGTTAGATTACAAATGGCAAAGGAGGCGGGGCGAGTATAAAAGGTCCCACAACCCCGCTCCTTTTGCCATTGGCAATCCTACTTTTAGCTCAAATATCTTAGTGTTAGGCTGTCCAATTTCAATGGTTTTTGTACCAATAGACAGAGAAAGACTTGGCACATCCAATGATACCAAGAAGATTTAAATTGGACAGCTCAACACCGAGATATTTGAGCTCAAAGTTAGATTGCCGATGGCAGAAGGGCCGGGGCGAGTATAAAAGGTCCCAAAATCAACTATTTTAGCAAAGCAGCAAAATTTTAGGCTAGATTTTTTTTAAGAACAACTATTTCATTGGATACACCGTTTCGGTTATTAGTCAATTAGTGCATGCTAGGTACGACCACAACCACAACGACCACAACAACCACGACAAGCACAACCACAACCACCACTACACCCACCACCACAACCACCACAACAAGTGATTTTGTTTGATGTTGTTGATTTGTAGTTCAGCTTTTGCACTCCAGCTTCTGCTTAAGAATGGAAAATTTTGAAGCTAGTTGATGAATAAGAAAGTAACGAGATTGAGGATTTGTGTAAAAAGGAAAATGCCTTAGACACCGCTGATACTAGCCAAAATATAAGTTTTAATGCTTGAGTTAGCACTTTTTACTCAACTATGCTTGACTATAAGTTTGGATAGAATTCCTGCTGAAGTGAGTCGGCTCAATTTGTTCAAGAATTACAAGAATTTCAAGAATTTCCGTACTTCACCTATTCCATTTGATAAAGTTGATATATTAGCGTTTGATAAAGGCTTTAGAAGAGTTTAGAAGACTTTAGAAGACTTTAGAAGGCGTTAGAAGATTTTAGACTTTAGAAAACTCATCATTAAACTCTTCATTCATCTGAACAATAATTTGTTTTAGCTCCTTTCTCCAAACCCGGTCAGAGTGCTCGAGTGAGAGATCCAGAGACAATTCAGGCGATGGGATTCGGGGTAACGCTTTCTATTAGAGTATTCTATTAGAGTTTCTTTCTACTTTTAAGGCTTTTAGCATTATTCAGAAGATCGAGGGTTCAATTCCCCTTTGCTTTCAAATTCTTTGCCATTCATTTCTTTATTTTATTCCTAATGCCCGTGGTCTGGTTTTCAAGCCCACGGTTCTGAAGATCCGGGTATTTCCCTCTCTTTCTTCCTTTCTTCTTCCTTTTTTCTTCCTTTCTTCTTCCTCTCTTTCTTCTTCCTTGTCTTTCCTATTTCTTCTTGGGCAAAGAGGCATCATAGTTCAGTTGTAGAGCATCTACCCGGTAAGCAGAAGGACAAGGGTCCAATTCCCCCTGGATACCAGATTCTTTTGCTATTCATCTCTTTACTTTATTAGACAACTCATCTTGTTGTTTGATTACCTATTCAAAAAATTTAGGGAATGACTGATGGAGTAGCAATGTTGACAAAAGCTAAAGAGAATCTCATGTTCACAATGGCCGCCCTTTCGGAGAGTCAACGAGTGGCGTTGAGGTTGGGAAAGTTTAATAACACTTTTTAATATACTGCCTTGTTTAAAGAACTAATCACGTCTTGTATTAGGTTAGAAAGAAAGTTTTCGGGAAAATTTTGGCTAGAATCTCGTAAAAACGAATCCACCAATTCAAGAACATTTTCTTCTATTATTTACAAGTCGACTCCAAGAAATTACTCGTCAAAAAAATGAGTGCCGCTTTCCCTTTAGAATAGAATTAATTCGAATAAAATAGAATAGAATAGAATAGAATTAATTAATTTATTCTTCAGCCTCTACAAGTTTTCTCTTCTTGTGCTCAAGTTTACTATTGGATTGGTGAATTGAAAACTGCGGGCTATTGTCAGATGTGACAGTTTGAGCACTTTCTTCAAAAGAAACCCATTTTGGTGTGAATGGAAAAGTTGTAGAGAATCAAAAATGAAGCTTATATCCAAATTTTCAGAACGATTCAAAAACTGGTTTTCAAGAAATGCCAAATTTACGAATTTTCACAAAACTTGCAACAAAACTTGCATATTAAGCGAAATTACTAAGTGTATTTTTTTGGAAATTTGGCTATAAGCCTAATTTTTGATTCTCTACAACTTTTCTATTGACACCAAAATGGGTTTCTTTTGAAGAAAGTGCTCAAACTGGGACATCTCCAGTCCTCGATTTTTGAGTCTCACACTTGTCTCACACACAAAACAAAATCCTACTACGAAAGAGGAATCCGCAAATTGCCTGTAAAATGGGTAGAAGTCGTCAATAATAATGGAGATTATTTGGAATGAATTGATGGTTTTATGTTGAATCAATTTTAGTTCAAAGTCCCGCAGTTTTCAATTCGCCAACCCAATATGTAATTTTGTCAATTAAACATTTTCCGTTGTCACTTTTTTCATGCTTAAATGAATAAAGTATTGATCTAAATGAGTAGATGAATGTAATACTAAAACTAAACTTATCATTCGTCTCCTATTTTAGTTACGATTTGGCTGAATTCGTTGAGATGTGTTCGTTCAATGGGCAACAATGCGATATCGATATTGGAAAGTATGAATACAATCACTTTTAAATCAAATCTCTTTCTTTGCAGAGATTTCAAGAGGCACGTTGATCCAGAATTTGGAAACTGTTACACGTTCAACTGGGATATTAACAACAATTACACGAGCAGTCGAGCCGGACCGATGTATGGTGAGTTGTTGGAAGGGTTTGGCATAATACTAATCAACTTCCTTTCGTCGTTGTTGTCGTTGTTGTCAATGGAGGCAGCCTTGTCGCTTTTGGATTCCGTGGACGAGTCCTTTTCTCTTCACTCGTTCTTTTTAATTCCTGAGAGCTTCTCTGGTGCTTCCTCGGATGCACCACCGGGCTTCCATACTCAAGGATTTTTGAATCGTCAATCTAGAAGACTTTTTTGAAAGGATGAAACTCTTTGTATTACCTCTGGCGCCCCCTCGACTCCTTCACCGGCATATGGGATCAGTTGGGGCTGAAATTAAGTTTTAGCTAGTCTGTTTAACTTTGAGCCTAAGCAAATTGTTCCGTTTTATCAGCTGTCTGACTTTTGGGGTTAAAATTTTGATCTTTCAAAGACTGTGCTTTTCAAACTTTCAAATGAAACAAAAGGTGACAAGCCTCTTATCCACTAGGCCACGACGGCATCTGCTTTGGCGAGTGTATATGTCGTAGCCGCTTACGAAATTCAGCCGCTAACGAATGAGGGTATTTCCGGGCATCCAATCAAAAAGTCACCCATATAAAAAATGTTCATAATACATATATTTTATAATAAATTTTTGAAATTAGCTCATTTGGTTCAGTCGAAAATTTTTTTTGAGCCTCCAAAGTTTAGGTTCAAAAATGCCCTAAAATGGCTATAAAAAATTTTCTACTTAGCCAAAAAACTTGCCTAATAGCTCATTTTGTAGCCAATTTGATGTAGATTTTTAAAGTAAAGCTATATTGAACATTTGTTTTTCAAAGCTAGGAGAAAGAGGTCGAGGAACGACCTCAGTTGAACTCGGTCGCTGTTTTCACATTTGAGAATTGCCCTGAATTTGTTCCTCGCCCTCTTTCTCCTACTTTCAACGAAAAATTGTTTTAGATGGCTTTACTTTATGAATCTACATCAAATTGGCTACAAAATAAGCTATTAGGCAAGTTTTTTGGCTGAGTAGAAAATTTTTTATAGCCATTTTAGGGCATTTTTGAACCTAAACTTTGGAGGCTCAAAAAAAATTTTCGACTGAACCAAATGAGCTAATTTCAAAAATTTATTATAAAATATATGTATTATGAACATTTTTTATGTGGGTGACTTTTTGATTGGATGCCCGGAAATACCCTCATTCGTTAGCGGCTGAATTTCGTAAACGGCTACGACATGTACACGCCTCAAATTGCCTTGAGTCGGCGTTTTCTAGTAAGCATTCCAGGCATTCAAATTCCAGGCATTCGAGTGCTCCTCTTTGTGAACACTTCTGATTACATGTCCACATCTGAATCTTCGGGTGTTCGGCTTTCCATTCATTCGCCCACTGAATACCCATTCCCTGATACATTTGGCTACAGTGCACCTGTGGGATTTGCAAGTAGTTTTGGGATCAAAAAGGTAAGAAAACAAAGCCTACCTGTTAAACAATAAAATCAGCCTTTGAACTTTGAACCTGAACTTTTAACCTTTAAAAATGAATTTGAGAGTTCATAATTCCTTTCTCCAATTGATCAATTCGAATGGGATTGGCCTCTATATATTAAATTTATATTAAAAATTCAAAATTGAACTTTTTATCGCTTTGAAACCGGAGATTTTCTGTGTAGGCATCAGCTATTTTTAGAAATCAGCTATCAGCTATCAGCTATTCAGCTATTCAGCTATCAGCTATTCTTTTAAAAACTAGACCGATTCGAGCAACTTTACTGAAGAAAAATCGAACAGGGGAATCCAAGAAAATCCAAGAATCTCTTCAAATCTCTTGAATTTCTTCCCCTCTTCAAATTTTGTTCAGTAAAGTTGCTCGAATCGTTCTACAGCACGTTCTACAGCGTTCTATAGCACTATTCGATTCTTGATAAAGCTTTAAAAACAAAAACAAAGATTGAAAGCTTAACTAAGAACCATAAAAGAAATGAAAATTTTTGGAAATCATTTAGAAAGTCGTTCGCCGTTTACCGATTCCGCATGGAGATTGCGTTGAAAATCGAAATACAACTGAAGATATGGAATATATCTATCAAGGATGGGATTATCATCCAGAAGTATATTAAATTATATTAAATTAGATTAAATTATATTAAATTATATTAAATTATATTAAATTATATTAAAGTTTATATTAGAAATTCAAATTGAACAAAATTGAACAAAATTGAACTTTTTATCGCTTTGAAATCGGAGATTTTCTGTTTATGACCTTTTTTTTTCTTTCACTCCCTTTCTCTCCCCCGCTGCCTGATAGGCCTCTTTTCCCGGCCGCAACGCATGGCCGCATTAGCTCAGTTGGTAGAGCGTCAGACTTTTACGAAAGAAAGAAATCTGAATGTCAGGGGTTCGAGCCCCCTATGCGGCTAATCACTTTTTACTTTTTGTTTCTATGTTTGGAAATGTTTGGGATGGGTACTTTTACAGTTTTCAGTGCAATATAGCGGTTTAAATTGATTTTAAAGAGCTGAACAAATGAGTGAAATACTAAATGCTAATTTCAGCTAATCATTGCGTTTCAGCGAATCATTGCGTTTCAGCGAATCATTGCGCTTCAGCTAATCATACGGGAAAAATCATCGGGTTTTAACATTCTTTGGATAAAATTTGATGAAATTTGATGAAATTTGATGGAATTTGATGAAATTTGATGAAATTTAATAAAAACAGACTTATTATTAAACAAATTTTAGGGCTGTTATCGTTCTTGCTTCCAGAACAGCTTGCTGGATGCTTGTGGATGTGGAGATCCGCGATTTCCAGTTCCAAAAGGGAAAAAGCATTGCTCGGCGTTTAGCAGTGAATCAAGTACCGGAAAAACTTTATTCGGTTCAAGAAAAGATGCTTAGGAAAATGTTTGGAAGAGCGATTGGGCAGTGTAAACGATTTCCATCATGTGACAGAGAATATGGGCAAATGCAAGTGTCAACCGAGTTGCGACGAGGATGTCTACGAAGTTACTTTCTCGGCCAGCAAATGGCCATCAGGCGCCACTGATGTGAGTGTTTTGTGCCTGAAAAACTTCTGAAACACAAATAAAACAAGATCTTGTAACTAATACTATGGAATTTCTTCTTGTAGTACTATAAGCACGCTATGCGCAACTACAGTACTTAGCAATTAGACTTGCTTAACAAGACAGATGAAAAATCGTGTGGCGGAACTTCAAGCGCTTGATCTAGCCAATAGAGTATCCGATTTCAATGAACTTTTTTTTATTTAAAAGCCAAGATTTCATGCTATCTAATGATACCTAGCACTTATGTTTTTCTTTTGAAAAAGTGAGTCAAAAACCTATTTGAAACTTAACGAGAGAATTCCTCGTTAACCAATTCTCGATATGGTTTTTGGCCAATTTTTTCAAAAGAAAACCATAAGTGATAGGTATCATTAGATAGCATAAAATCTTGGCTTTTATATAAAAAAAAGTTCATTAGAATCCGATAGTCTGTTGGCTAGATCAAGCGCTTGAGCGAGTTGTGCTACTCATTTGTCTCGTTCTCGTTGAACAATTCTAAATGCAATTATTCCAATTTCAAGTGTTAAAACTGGAATTTTGGCTCAATTAAAGCGTTTAAAAGCTATTTAGTTAAAGCTTAAAAGCTATTTAGTTAAAGCTGAATTCAACTTTCAAACTTAAACTCTAAATTTCAACACTCAGTGCAATTATCAGCGTTAGGTTTTCAGCGTTTACAAAAGTTTTTTTGTCAAATTGTTAGAACTTGTTGTTAGGACTTGTTAGAACTGGTTAGAACTTGTTAGAACTGGTTAGAACTGGTTAGAACTGGTTAGAACTTGTTAGAACTTCACAGCCTCATTGAAAATTCGATTTTTAAACCGCCATTCAATTTTCTAGACAGGAGGACTCCACGGGGTAAAGTTTTTGAAAGTCACTTTTTGAAAGTCATTGTGACAGTATCAGTATGACAGTAATGTCATCATTTTTTGAGTGTCTTTATCAAATACCTCAAATTTCAGGGCGATCGCAAGGTAAGTTCAAAGAATAGAGAACAAAAATCCTCCACCTGCAACCCCACAGATCTCATTTCTCTTTTCTCTTTTCTTTTCTCCCCAACACATAGATTTTGTTCAATTATTTGCATCCTAGTGTGAATGAAAAGCACATTGGAAAAGATTTTTTGAAGGAAACGCTGAGAATTTAGCTTGGTGACTGTGAGGGAAGGAGTCCGGAGGAGTGCGAGAACTATTACAGGCTCAATGCGGCGATGGTGGTGAGTTCCGTTTGAGTATGAGTTCCTTTCTGAGTATGAGTTCCTTTTGAGTATGAGTTCCTTTTTCAAAAAAAGCCCAAAAAAGCACTAAAGCATTTTTGGCAAACTACCGTTTTCGTGCTGCAATTTCACGCTCGTTTATGGGCAAATAGCTAATTTTCGTCTCATTGCTGAGCGTTTTTCTTTCGAAGATCGAGCTGATTGAATGAAAACATGTGTTTGGGTCGAGTCCTAAGTCTTGCGCTCGGGTTTTAAAACTTTCTTTTCTCAATGAATAATTAGCCCATCGAGTTACGGTTTTCCCTATCAAAAATCTTTATTATTTCTCTACAAAAGAAGCTTGCTTTAGAAGCTTTAGAAGCTGCTTGCTTTTAGAAAAAAGGTTTGCCCTTTTCAGCTTTTTTTAATAGACGAATAGTCTAGTGGCCAAAAATTGTGAGACCTCGATGTCGATTGGTGCAATTTTAGCACTTTTTTTACTACAGAAACCAATTGTGGTGTTAAAAGAAAGAGATAGAACGCAAAGAGTTAGACAGATCACCATTATCTCAGCTTGTTTCGTTCAGCCGTTTTGATTTTACATCAGATCACAGAATTTTTTTATGAAAAATAGGGATTTCCGCTTTAAATTTCCGTGAAACGGGCTCAAACTTGCTAAAAAGGAATTGAAAATAGTTAATAAACATTTGTGCTTTGAGCGAACCGTTTCTTTTCATCGAGAAAAGAAAAGTTTCGAAAACTGGTTGCAAGAATTAGAATTACGCCAAGACTTACTGCAAGACTTACGCCAAGACTTACAGCAAGACTTACAGCAAGACTTACTGCAAGACTTACTGCAAGACCTACACCAAGACTTACAGCAAGACCTACGCCAAGACTTACGGCAAGACCTACGCCAAGACCTACACCAAGACTTACAGCAAGACCTACGCCAAGACTTACAGCAAGACTTACGGCAAGACCTACGCCAAGACTTACGGCAAGACTTACAGCAAGACCTACGCCAAGACTTACGCCAAGACTTACGGCAAGACTTACGCCAAGACTTACAGCAAGACCTACACCAAGACTTACAGCAAGACCTACGCCAAGACTTACGGCAAGACCTACGCCAAGACTTACAGCAAGACTTACGGCAAGACCTACGCCAAGACCTACGCCAAGACTTACGGCAAGACCTACGCCAAGACTTACAGCAAGACTTACAGCAAAACTTGTTTGTACTCGATCTAATAGTTTGATAACAGTATATTTCTAAAGTTTTTTAGAAAACGCATTTTTAGAAAACACAAGAGAAACAAATCCCTATTTACAATCCAATTTTTTAGGAAGTCTTCTATGAACAGCTCAACTACGAACTGCTACAAGAATCGGAAGCTTATGGGGTGAGTTGTTTGAGAGCATTGTTGATAGAGCAAAATTTCAGCTAGTCAATCTGATTGCTGACTTTGGAGGGCATCTCGGCTTGTGGATGGGTGAGTTTGATCGTTTGTTTGTTTTTTTGATCGGCTACAATAGCTGGAGCATTAGCTACAATAGCTACAACAGCTTTAAAGCAATTCTCCTTTACAATTTACCAAAATTCATCACTTTCAGGCTTCTCCGTGATCACCGTGATCGAATTCATTGTGTTGGTTGCCGAATTGTTCGCTGTTTGCTTTAAAAAGGAGGAAAACGAGAGCAATGAGGTCATTTTGAGAGTCATAAAATGCTTGAAACACCGCATTTCAGAATTCACATGATCTCACCGAGAAAGGAGGGAAAATCTATGCAGATGCAAAGGAAAAAGAGCAATTTTCATCGAAATAGCCATTTGTATTGAACGTTTGTCTAGTTTTTCTTGAAATTTCCTTACTGTGATCGTGTGAATTTCTTTTTCTTGTTGCCATTTTCATTGCGAGTCATGTTGAGATCTCATTTTCATGTTTTCTTTTGAAACTCTTGATCTTTAATTAGATTGTTAAGCTTTTTAGCTTTATTTATAATCGATTAATGTCTATGAAATGGCTAAATTTTCTTTCAGATTCCTCTAACCAATCACAAACTTTCAAAAAAGTTCTTTTATCATTTGTTGCTAGTGAAAAGTTATGCAATAATCAGCTTTTTGACTAAATTTTACACAAAATCTGTGCCAGTACGAACCCAATACCACAAGTACGAACCGCATTTGTGCAAAAAGAGCAGCACCTCCAGAGGGCTCGATGATGCCAAGACACTTTGGCTAATGGGAACCTAGATTTGTGTCAATAGATAAAAGATAGAACACAAAAATTTAGGTACAATGAAGTGCTATCTTTACAATTTTCAAACTCTAGTTCAAACTCTGCAAGGTTTAGTATTAGATTTTATAAAGGGGACATGAAAAATTTCAATTTATCGTTTCAAAACTAATACCTATTCTAGATTGGAGGTATTAGGCTGTTCAGAAAGACTTTTCGTTCCTTTTCGTACTTCCTTAAACCAAGAATTGCAGGAATTAAACTACCAATTCAGCGAATTGAACTTTATCATTAGAAAAGCCAATTATTTTTCCACAAAATAACGTTAAAACGGCTTTAAAATGTCTTATGCTTGCATTTTTTTGGGTGCGAGAAGTCGGGGAGTCAAAAAGGGTAGGGAGATGATGCTAAGACACTTTAGCTAATCGAAAACTATATTTGTGTCAATAGATAAAAGATAGAACACAAAAATTTAGGTACAATAAAGTGCTATCTTTGTAATTTTCAAACTCTAGTTGCCTAAAATGCCGTATTCTCTCTAATAGTAGTGCACCCGGCCGAGTTGATGACGATTTTACAGTTCCCAAGCTTTCACAGAAGCCCAACACTCTAATCCTCCACTAGATCTCATCGTCAGCTACATTTTCCAACCCCACATCGATAGGTTCTGATAAGCGGTTCTCGAGATTTCAAGCAATTTAAGCAACGCTCAGGATGCACTACTATCAGAGAAAATACGGTATACGATTTCTTTTAAAGAAATTAAGCCTTTTCACTGATTTAGTGGCAAATTCTCTTTAAATGTAAAGATATTCAGTTTACTGTAAAGAGCTAGACGTGTAAAGAGGATTACTCGTAGTTAATCGATCAAAGAAACGTCGATTAAGCGATTACTCATGGAAATTTTACTCAAGTAATTACTTAACTACCCTAAGACTCTGATTAGAAAGATAATAGTTTTACCTTTGTATTTGTTTATGTTGTCGGACTAAATCCCATTTGTCTGATACATTTCTTTCTTAATTTTTCCATGAACAGCACTTTTTTCTCGACCCACGCTAACAGCTGACGCCAAGGAACGGCAAGAAAGCGAGAACAAGTGATGCTCCAATACATTCAAACAGACATTCAACTATCTCACTTCATGAACTTTTTGATATTTTATTGTTCCACTACAAAATAGGTATTGATTTTCAAGATTCTTAAGAATTTTGTCCAACACTCAAATTGTTTAATTCATAAGGAGCTTTAAAGGAGCTAAATAGGAGCTTTGAAGGAGCTTTGAAGGAGCTTTAAAGGAGCTAAATAGGAACTATAACACCCAAGTTTATGACTGCAAAATCTGTTTATGACTATTCATCTGTTTATGACTGTTTATGGCTGTTTATGACAAATCCAAGCATATAAAATCTTTAAATCCCGAAAAATCTTTGCAATTTATTTAATAAATGGTTTTCTCCATTGCTTACGGAGAGCAAGAACACTTTTTTTTGTGTGAAAACGCGAGCGATTTGTGTCTTTGTGAGAATCAAGTCATGAAGATCGTTTCTTTTTCTTTCATTTCTTTCTTTTCTTTCAACTGGACTTGCTTTCATTAACCCATCTCAATTTCCCGCTAATGCTTGAGCAAAAAAAGTTTGCAAATGACGAGAATCGATCCATTGTTGAGGGAAGAGGTTTGAGTTTTTGTGGTCGAGCGCATTCTGAGTGTACTTCCGTAACTTGGTGGGTTCAAAGTTTTGCTATGAGGCAAGGTTTTTCAAATTTTCTTTATTATTCTAACTCTTTAAGTTTTTAAGAGTCTCAAACCTTCTTGCCGTATACGAATTCGTTATCAAATCTTCTAATTTCCTTTTAAGCAGGAAGTTCTAAAGGTTTTAAATTCTTCTTGCCTTCTAACTTCTTACAGTATATCAAATTGTACTAACGAGTAATAAAGGAATGGTAAAGAAGGATTTCTGGAGAGGGGATTGAACCATCTACCTTTTTGTCTCAACCTTTCTGCTTTCAGGGCAAAGTGCTTTAACCACTTAGCCATCCAGTCTCTTCTTGTCAGAGAAGCAAGGGGAAATTCAAGAGGAAGAGAAAGAAGAAAGAGAAGAAAGAAAGAGAAGGAGGAAAGAAAGAGAAGAAAGAAAGAGAAGGAGGAAAGAAAGAGAAGAAAGAAAAAGAAGGAGGGAAGAAAGAGAAGAAAGAAAGAGAAGGAAGAAAGAGAAGATAAGTCAAATCCAAATTTTAAGCCTTCTTACAGTATACTGAATCGTTACAGTAAGCTAAATCTCAAGCCTTTCTCAAGCCTTTTTACGATCAACCGTTAGAGTCCTACGACAGGATTGAATCTTAAAGCAATTCTCGAATTGTTGATAGTCTTGAATCCTTTGAATCTTTCAAACTCAGCTTATTTTCTTTTAAAACAATTCCGCTTTCAAACACTCTCTGACTTTCTCAACTTTTTCAAACCCTTCTTAACATTTTGAGGTCTTTAAACACTTAAAAAACAAGCTTTTCACCTTTTCATCCAGCTCCCACTTTTCTTCGAGCTTTTCTGAATGAAACTCCTCAACATTGATCTCTCACACCCCTTCGCAAACTTGAGATTTTTTTAAAAGTTTTGGAACAAAAGGAAAAAACTTTTGATTTTTGGGTGGAAAAAAGTATTGACCACACAAATACAACGATAGTTTTCAGTATTTAGTCGGTCCTCCCTCAGCTTTGATGATTTTCTGCATTCTTTCAACCAATTTATCAAGAAACAGCGGCGATATTGATTCCCAAATTTCTTGAACCTTTGTCCCAAAGCTCATCTCTCGAAGCTCATCTCTCGAAGATGCCCGAAATCCCTTCAGTTCTCGTTTCACATGAGCCAACAAGTGTTCGATTAGGTTACAATCAGGTGAATATGGCGGAGTATCGAGAAGCTACACATTGCTGAGGAGTATCGAGAAGATACACATACCTCTCACCAGAACTTAATCAAAACTCACTTATCGATGTCTCAATCTATTCCCTCGAGTTTCTCTATTCACCAAAGCGGAACACTTGGTTCAACCTCAAGAGTTTTGAAAGGGGAAACGACATAAAAAGTTGGGAAAAAGCTCTTGTAGAAAAAGTGCAGTGAATCTGATCGGAAAAGCCACCATTTTTTGCTCTTTTTCACTTTTTTTTCAGGGGTGGAGAGCAGAACAAGCTCATAGGGAAGGAGGGGGAAAGGGAAGAAGGGGAAGAAGAAGGGGAAGGAGGAGGGGAAGGGGAAGAGGAAGGGTGGAGGGCGGAGGGGAGGCGGTAGAGGGGTTGCCTGGGGAGTGCCTGTGGGTGAGTGGCAGCCACCCCCCCCCCCATCCCGTCATTCTTGTCCATCTCAATCACAACGACACTACCCCTGCCGATGATTTTTGCTCGCTTCCAATTTGTCCACTTTCAATAAGCTTCACTTTGTTTGTTGACTTTAATTTCTAATTTCTAATTTCTTTTGTAAGCTTTTGGTGGAAATTTCAGCTTGATTCAGAAACTGGTTAAAAAAATGGATATTTTTGCAACTCAAAAGCTTTCTCCCAACGGAATTGTCCCGAAATTGTCTCCCCTCAATTGTCATAGCTGAATTCTGTATATCCGATCATCAAAAAATACCCTCAAGCTGCAAAATTAGTACTTTAGTATCTCCAATTCGTTATGTTGAATTTAGTTACCCTTTCAGCTCCGTAAACTTACATCGGATAATGATTTAAATCTGAAGCACCAAAATGAGCCTTAGCACGGCTCCTACCTCTTTTTCAGCTTGTAATCCTCTGCAAACATCTTTGTGATTGACGAGTCAAGATTTTTGTACTTGAAAACAAACGATCTCTTTACGAGTAAATTGTGAAATTCTCTTGAGATAAGAGAAGCCAAAAATGAACCTCGATTGAGCCAAATATTTGCGTAAATACCAGAAAGCATTGATGAATCGGTTCACTGTTTGAAAAGAGGTCTGAATTTGAATTACCGTATTCTCTCTAATATTAGTGCACCCTGAGCGTCGTCTAAATTGCTCGAAATCTTGAGAAGCGCTTATCAGAACCTATCGATGTGGGGTCAGAAAATGTAGCTGACGATGAGAACTAGTGGGGGATTAGAGTGTTGAGCTTCTGTGAAAGCTTGGGAACTGTAAAATCGTCATCAACTCGGCCGGGTGCACTACTATTAGAGAGAATACGGTATTTTAGGCAACTAGAGTTTGAAAATTGCAAAGATAGCACTTCATTGTACCTAATTTTTTGTGTTCTATCTTTTATCTATTGACACAAAGATAAGTTTCCATTAGCTAAAGTGTCTTAGCATCATCTCCCTACCCTTTTTGACTCCCCGACTTCTCGCACCCAAAAAAATGCAAGCATAAGACATTTTAAAGCCGTTTTAATGTTATTTTGTGGAAAAATCATTGGCTTTTCTAATGATAAAGTTCAATTCGCTGAATTGGTAGTTTAATTCCTGCAATTCTTGGTTTAAGGAAGTACGAAAAGGAACGAAAAGTCTTTCTGAACAGCCTAATACCTCCAATCTAGAATAGGTCTTAGTTTTGAACGATAAATTGAAATTTTTCATATCCCTTTATAAAATCTAATACCTTGTAGAGAAACTCGACGAGATTGAAATCTCAAAAGATTGTCCTTGAAAACTCCTCGATTCAATCAGTCAATGTTGACTTTGTTGACAAAAAAAACATTTTTCCCCGATTTTTCATCATCTTTGAACCAAAATATCACTCGAAAATGACAAAATTTGCATTGAAACGATACGATTGAAACAATTTAAACAGTAAGAAATTTGTCTGCAAATAAAAAAATTCAAGTTGTTCCTAGAATTTTGGGAAATTGATGTTTAAGACAGGCTCCCTATAAATGCCAGAACCTTAAAAAGGACCTTAAAAATTTCCATTTAACATCTTGGCTTATTTTTTTTAACCAAGAACATATTTTGGTGTTAAATTCTAAAGGAAAACTTTGTTTTAGGTTTTTAGGGGATTCTTGTTGAGTTTTTTTTTTCAGGTTGACCTTCAAAGAGTGTGACATGTTCGCCACTAAACCCATCCTTTTACCCTTTTTTTCTCAATGCAACAGACCACATCCCTTCTTTTTTTGATTTTTTTGCTCTGCTCTCACGTAGCTGCAAATCGGCGTTCTCTCGAGGTGAAACTGAATGTTCAGAGAGTTGTTTAACCTTACAATTACAAGGTGAATCGGACAAATCGGAAGAAAATAAACCAGACAAATCTTTTTGACTCGATCTTCACTTGCAAATGGACTAAATGCTTTTCATAATCGTTAATTATACACTCTTTGTAACTCAAATCCAAAAGATTTTAACCCTAGGTCATTTCTGGAAATTCTAGGAGTTGAAAGAGGCAGCCAAACCCACTGGAGTGTTGAAAGAAGCAGCTCGGCCAAACTCCTGTCCTTTTTGCATAAACGCGGTTCATTCTCAAATGAGGAATCAAATTTTAAGAATTATACCGTATTTTCTCTAATAGTAGTGCACCCGGGTTGATGACTATTTTACAGTTCCCAAAGCTTTCACAAAAGCTCAACACTCTAATCCCCCACTAGATCTCATCGTGAGCTACATTTTCCGACCCCACATCGATAGGTTCTGATAAGCGGTTCACGAGATTTCGAGCGATTTAGGCGAAGCTTAGGGTGTACTACTATTAGAGAGAATACGGTATGTTATTTTACTCATAATCTGTGCACTGAGAATGAACCGCGCTTATGCAAAAAGAACAGCGGCAACGAGTTTGGCCGAGTTGCTTCTTTCAATTCCTAGAATTTATAGAAACGACTTAGGACTAAAATCTTTTGGATTTGAGTTACTAAGAGTGTATAATTAACGATTGTTAAAGCATTTAGTCCATCTGCATGTGAAGATCGAGTCAAAAAGATTTGTCCGGGTTATTTCTGGTCACCCTGTAGTTAGTGAATGCATTTTACACCCACTTAGCTCTCTCTTGAGCAAGGAAGAGTGCATTGCGGTGTAAGGGTTAGCACAGTTGCCCGGGAAGCAAAAGGTCGCGGGTTCGAGTCCTGGCGGTGCACCAGTTTTTGAGCTGCCCGTTCCAACTACTATTATTAGAACTGTCACTCAATCAGTATCAGTACAAATGTCTATTGTCAGCTGTTAGTTACTGTAGCGGTAAGGTTCTAAATAAGGGTCATTTGTATGCTATTTTATCTGCTCAAATTTACCCTGAAGACTCCTCTCTTTCCCCCGCTCACTTTTATCTCTCGCCTCAACTCGTGGTCGGCAAGAACACAGTTCCCGTTCTCCGAACGAAATTTATGGCGATCTGATTTTTTACGAGGTCTTTCTCTAAAAAAAAAACTAGAAAATCCAATTTAGTGGCTACTTCAAGAATTTTGAAATGTACTGACCTAAATTCTTCTAACGGTAAGTCAAAAATGAAAATGTTCAATGTAGCCCTGCGCATCGAATTTCAATAAGAGTTTTTATTAAATTGATTGATAATCGATATTGAAACTTATTGATAGTAAGGCATAAGGTTCTACCATGGCAGCAATGGCACAGGTAGCAATGACACAGGTAGCAATGGCACAGGTAGCAATGCACAGGTAGCAATGGGACAGGTAGCAATGGGACAGGTAGCAATGGGACAGGTAGCAATGGGACAGGTAGCAATGGCACAGGTAGCAATGAGACAGGTAGCAATGGCACAGGTAGCAATGGCACAGGTAGCAATGGCACAGGGTAGCAGTGGGTAGCAATTTAAAATTTTATTCATTCCTTTTCAATTTCTCAATTTTGAATCAATCTTTTTCAATTTCAATTCAATTTTAAACAATTTCAATTCAATTTCAATTCAATTTTAAACAATTTCAATTCAATTTCAATTCAATTCCAAACAATTTGTTGCTCAATTAAAATCAATATCGTTCCTTTGCATTGTTGACATTTCAAGAGAATCACTTGAGGTTTTCGAGAATTTCTCTTTTCCAATTTCTTCTAACCCGGATTTCTTTGGGTTTTTTTCCTTAATGCAAAAACTCTTCGAGAGCTATCATCTATCAATTTTTTTTCTACTGTATCTTCGACAAAAAAACTGACTCACTCCCTTTCTCATATCATCGTCGCTTTGCTTTTGGGTAGCCTAATTTCAAGCAAAGCAGATTTTCGAACCCTCGAACCTAATTTCACTCTAACTCTAATTTCATAAAACAATCTTTTATATGAAATTAGAACTTTTACTATCTTTTCATTCATGTCTCTATGGTATGTAAATATTTCGCTTCTATATGCCCTCAAAAATAATCAAAAGTCGGTCTTGAGTAGCTCCTCGTAAATGCTTGATTAAAGCTTTCTGTGCTTTTCATTTATAGTCTTGCACAAAGAATGAAGCACACCTTTTGACGCTCCATTGCATATATGAAAAGATATTGAAAGCACGTGTTAGTCTAACAACAGAAAGTAACTGCTTATGACTAATTGCTTCTGTCAAAGCTATCGAGCTGGTTCTTTTATGGGGTGGGGACAAAGCAATGCCAGCGCCAGGATTCGAACCCGTCACCTCTCTCTTACTAGGCTTCAAACTTTTTGAATAAATTGTCAAATCCGGGACAAGAACTGAGATAATTTTTTGTTGGTAAATTGTTGTTGATAAATAGTTGTTGATAAATTAACACAAACATAAAACAAAACAAAGTGAGAAAGATCTCTAAAATGGGCAAAAGTCCTGTCGAGGTTACAAGAGCTCAAGACCCTTCCAAATCCTGAAGTTGAACAAGCCGGTCCTTTTATAGGTTTCGGCTGGGAATACAAAACAAAACAAAGCACAGTCAGTGCCGGGATTTAAACCCGTGACCTCTCGCTTACCGGGCGAACCTCATCGGTGGCGAATACTACCAATGAGCTACACCGACACGAATCCCATTACCACCAGGGTAGGCCCTTATGCTTTACTCTTATTCTAAAAGCTCACTGTCAACATAACAAATAGAAAACGACTTCTTGTAAACAGAAAATATTTCCCGAATCAGATATGAAACAAAGCTGCTGAGCTGAGCTTCCTAGACAAGCTGAGCTCTCCTAGACAAGCTGAGCTCTCCTAGACAAGCTGAGCTCTCCTAGAAAAGCTGAGCTTCCTAGACAAGCTGAGCTCTCCTAAACAAGCTGAGCTCTCCTAGACAAGCTGAGCTCTCCTAGACAAGCTGAGCTCTCCTAAACAAGCTGAGCTCTCCTAAACAAGCTGAGCTCTCCTAAACAAGCTGAGCTCTCCTAAACAAGCTGAGCTCTCCTAGACAAGCTGAGCTTCCTAGACAAGCTGAGCATCCTCGACAAGCGAATTCTCTCTATAAATTTGTTTTTGTGTTTTCTTTTTTGAGACAAATTTCTTTATTCACACAACAAATTACATTGAAATTTTGCCTATTCAGCAAGCAAAGTGACTGATGTTTGAGTTTTCTTAAGCGTTGAAAGAAAAGAATTCCCCTAGCTTTGTCAGAATTGATCCAAGAAAGATTTCAATTTTCCCCTTCTAAACATCAATGTCCTTGCATCCCTGTTGTATGAATGGTAAGTGGTTGTCATTTGTGAATCCCCTAGCATTGGGATCGGAGCAATCTCTCTCTGTCAACTAGACCCTTCACTTCCCTTCACTTCCCTTCACTTCCCTTCCCTTTCCTTCACTTCCCATCCCTTTCCTTCCCTTCCCTTCTCTTCACTTCCCTTCACTTCCCTTCACTTCTATCCCTTCCCTTCCCTACCCTTTTTTTTCTCCTCTTCTCGACCCCGTTTCCCTTGGATTCCCATAGTTTTTATGTAAAAATCAAAGCATAATCGGGATTTTGAATCGATCTTCTCAATTCTCATTTGTTCTCTCTTCTCCTTTCTTCTCCTTTCTTCTCCTCTCTTCTCCTCTCTTCTCCTCTCTTCTCCTCTCTTCTCCTCTCTTCTCCTCTCTTCTCCTCTCTTCTCCTCTCTTCTCCTTCCGTTCCTAGGCATCTTATTCTCTTATAACATTATTATTTCTCAGGAATTCATATAAATTGATTTAAAGATAGTGCTTAAATTCAGATTTATCATTCATTCATTGATCTAACTTTGAATTTAAATTTAAATTTGAATCTTGTTAGATAGTCATTGAATTTGAATAGAATTAATTAAATTAAATTAAATTAATTCTTCAATCTCTACAATTTTTCACTTCTTGTGTTCAAGTTTGCTATGTCATTTTGTCAATTGATCAAAAAACACCGTCTTTTTTCACTTTCACTGCTACTTTTTCATGCTTACATGAATCAGTATTGATCTAAAATGAAATTGATACGATTTTCGCGTCAAGAATAGCCAATATTTCTCGTCTCACTCTTTCTGAATTGATTTTTGATTGTTAAATGTTTTAAAACTTAACATTTGAGATTTTTGCTCTTGAAATCATTTCAATATTCAACCATTTATTTAAAATTTTCAGCTGATTCAACATCTTCAACACTTGTTTCACGAGAAAGCCTGGACCGAAGTCGGACATGGAATTTGAAGATATCGAACCCGGTTGGTTTCGAGTATTAGCTTTTGATTTAAGACTTACAAAAATAGCAATAATGTTAAGAGAAGTAAAAATTCTCAATCAGTTTCAGCAATTTGACTTCAAAATAACATTTTTATGCATAAATTCTCTTGAAAATGACACTGGCTTATGTTTCAATCGTGACTCTTTGTTCAAAAATTTTTTTTTTTTTAAGCGTCGAAGAGTTTTGTTTGAAGTTGATTCATCGATGACTAAATCAGAAAAGAAAGAAAGAGGACTAAAGAAAAGAAAAACTGAATCTTTTGAAAATAAATCATTTATTTTTGAGTTTATTAATGATCTAGTTTTGAGATAATAATTTTGAAATTACCGTATTCTCTCAAATAGTAGTGCACTTTGATCGTCGTTTAAATTGCTCGAAATCTCGAGAACCGCTTATCAGAACCTATCGATGCGGGGTCAGAAAATGTAGCTGACGATGAGATCTAGTGGGGGATTAGAGTGTTGAGCTTCTGTGAAAGCTTGGGAACCGTAAAATCGTCACCAACTCGGCTCAGCCGAAGGAAGGGGGAGCGGGCACTACAAGTTGAAATTACCGTCTTCTCTCTAATAGTAGTGCACCCTGAGCGTTGCCTAAATTGCTCGAAATCTCGAGAACCACTTATCAGAACCTATCGATGTGGGGTTGGAAAATGTAGCTGACGATGAGATCTTGTGGGGATTTGAGTGTTGAGCTTCTGTGAAAGCTTGGGAACTGTAAAATAGTCACCAACTCGGCTCGCCGGGGTGCACTACTATTAGAGAAAATACGGTAAATGTGATCGACTACTCAAAAACTGCTTCCAAAGCTGCTAACGTTTTGCACAAATGCGGTTCGGACTCAGTGCACAGATTTTGAGTAAAATAACATACCGTATTCTCTCTAATAGTAGTGCACTTTGATCGTCGTTTAAATTGCTTGAAATCTCGAGAGCCGCTTATCAGAACCTATCGATGTGGGGTCGGAAAATGTAGCTGACGATGAGATCTAGTGGGGGATTAGAGTGTTGAGCTTCTGTGAAAGCTTGGAAACCGTAAAATAATCATCAACTCGGCTCACTCTATTAGAGAAAATACGGTAATAGTATTAGTAAGTAATTTCTAATAAGTAAGCAAACAAACTTTCTTTATTTCTTTCAAATCTAGATTGATTATCGTAAAGTTGGCTGTTTATCAAACTTTGCATACAAATTGTCATTCAAATGCAAACTTAAATGCGAACTTTGCAAATTGACTATTTCAAAAGCCATTTATAAAAAGCAGCTTTCCGAAGTCAAAGTTAGGTTTTAATTTTTGGTTTTTGAGAAATTTGGAACTGATTACAGGTGAAATTTTTGTAAATTTTATGTGAAAATTCCATGAGAACTATTACGATAAATAATCTTATTGTTAAATGTTTATTTTGGCGACGACCTCGCATTCCCATTGACGTCGTCGCCATTTAGAGGTAGTCGATGGGAGCGCCGCGTCGTCGTTTCTTTTTCTCTTTCAAATCATTTCTTTTCGTCAGCTTAATTGAAAGTATTGTTTTACGCGATAAATTTGTGTTGTTTGTGATGAATTTTTTGTTGAAATGAGAGAGGAATCAATTTCCATTTGGGAACCAAATCCAAATCTGGAGAATCCGAAACTTTTCGTAACCGGACCACAATGAAGGCCAAAACTAACTGTAAGATGGTTTGGGGAGTTGAATGGAAACAAGGAATAGGAAGGAAGAGAGGGAAAAACCGGTCTTCAAAGCCATATATCACAAGGAAAACTGGTGATAGAGTTGTATTGGCTGAGCTGAACTGAGCTGAGCTGAGGCTGAGCTGGCTGGTTGAGCTTTTTGTGGATGAAGCCTGGGTTCTTTTCCAATATCGGGGGAGCGGAAGGAAAATCGGGGGAGCGAAAGGAAAATCGGGGGAGCAAATTTTGCCCCCTCGAAAAATGCATTTCTGGGACTTTTATTTTAACTGCAACGTTTTTTTTTTTTAATTTTTTGGCAGCGCTACATATGTCCTATATTATCCAAAGTACTGCCATAAAATCCGCGAATTACCCGTTATTCTCACAACCTTTATATTAGATCACAAAAGTGACTTAAATATCTAACACTTGGGGACATTTCGCCGTGCGCAAGTGTCACATACCCAGCGAAATAGATCTTTTCCCTTTGAGCGGACTTTCATCGATTCGCCACAGTTGCAAATCCACGACTGGATGACTCCTTTGGTGACGAAATAATCGATTGCCGTCGATTCCTTGAACGCACAAATATCGGAGAAGCGCATCGTCGTTAAAGTTTAAAAAAAAACGTTGCAGTTAAAATAAAAGTCCCAGAAATGCATTTTTCGAGGGGGCAAAATTTGCTCCCCCGATTTTCCTTTCGCTCCCCCGATTTTCTTTCCGCTCCCCCGATAATCGGACCGCTCCCCCGATATTGGAAAAGAACCGAAGCCTGTAGTAAAGTGAGGAAAGGTTAGGCTCTGGTCAATCAGCCTAAAACCCGCCTTTTCACAGTTTTTTCAAATGTTGTGCTTTGAGTTGAAGCAGTTATAACGCCGTTACAAAACTCCAGTGCTTTCAGCCCGTTTCTTTCAACAAAATATTCAACAAAATATTTGACTAGCTGTTCGAGAGCCCCAATGACACGTTTTCCCCTTAAAAATTGCGAGAATTAATTTGAGCAATCGATTTTATTGACTTTCGCAGAATAAATAGTATTGAGAAATATTTTTTTAGCTTTTAAAAGATCAAAATTTTCTTCTAAATGACATTTGTTTCGATTTTTCATTTCAAAAACCTTCTAAAATTTTCCCTTTTCTGCCATTTGGTGCGATCTTTGTGGAAAAAGTGGGTACAAATGCGGAAATTTTATGGAATGATCGTTATCTTTTCCGTGGTTTTTTGCAAATTTTGCTTACCCTTCTTTGTTTTGATATTTTCTGAGCTTTTATTTTAGAAGACTGCCTTTAGAAGTGAGGGAAGGGGTGCAAAGCAAGAACTCCAAGAACAAGAGCAAGAACTTGAAGAACAAGAGCAAGAATTCCAAGAACAAGAGCAAGAACACGAAAAGGACCTCTTTCCATGCTCTTTCATAACGTACAAAGTTTACACCTATTGCTTGCATCAGGAATTTCTAACCATTTCTAGAGCTCAGGTTCAGCTCTGGTTTCTCTGGGCTAGGTATTTTTATAGTCCTCTGACTGCGGGCATCTGCTTTTGACCTGCTTTTCCTGGACTAGCTTGACTGAAAAAACTCCTTTCTTTTGCACAGTTCGCATCTCACATTGTTATAGAATTTGGCTTGTACTTGGCTTAAACTGGTTGTCGTTATTGATTAAAAACATTCGATATTCCATTCAGTTTCTAGAATTACCCTAGTAAGAGTTGTTTCAAAAGGCAAGTTTTCCGGGCCGAGTCAAGTAAGAAGTTTGATTCTAGTTGCAGGCTTGGCCAAGTCCTTGGATCTGCCAAAAACAGGGTTGAACCTGACTCTTGGCTTAGATTCCAGAGCTCTTACAGGCGTCTAATTGACTTTAGAACTATGTTTAGCTTTTCTTTGGATTAGATATAGTTTGTAACGCTAAACCTCCTCATTCAGTTTCGAAAATCGCTCTGACATCTTTAGCTGTAAAGTTTACAAAGTCATAACCTGAATTTGTAGAATCCAAGTCTTCAACTTCTTAAGCTTAAAGTTAAATAACTTTCCTATTGTTATTTCTCAACAACTCGTCAAAATCGTCAAAATTTTTATTCTTTTTGGATAGTTGACCTGCTTTTCCACTTTTTCTTTACTATTCCCCTTTTGCTTAGAAAAGCACGGTCACCGATAAGGAATTCTACACCACTCTTTCTTTCCCTCCTTTCTCTAGAAAATCATTATAACCGGTCATCACAAATTTTCCCCTTTTCTTTTTTTTGTTATCATTTTCTGACATAAGACAATTGTGTTATGTAACTTTCGAAATATTAAAAAGATCTCTTGACTGACTGTCATTTAGCGAAAATATCTCTCGAATGATTGTCATTTAGCTATTTGTTCAATTCAAAGGTTAATAGAGTTTAAAATCATTACTTCTACCATCTAGCATTTACCAATTTAGCATTTAGCAATTTTGCTGAACAGATTTAGCAATTTAACATTTACCAATTTTGCTAAACCAGCAGAACAACCCGCTTAACGGCGGGCTGCTTCAGAAAGCGAAGCTGCTTCAGAAAAAATGATTGCCAGCAACGAATTCCCTGTGTTGGAAAGCTCCAGCATGCAAATTTGAACGTAAAACTCAAATTGCACCGATGGCGTAGTGGATAAAGCGCTCGCCTCAAGCGCACACCACCCGGGTTCGATCCCCGCCAGTGGCCACCCACTTTGAAATCTTTTTTTAAAAGGCATAACTACATGAAATTTGTTATACAATACAACTATTATGTATGCGTTTCAGCGTTTTGTTTTTATGAGCTCATTTATAATGGGCAATGGTTGTGGTGTGCGACAGTTATAATGTTAAAAAATCTAATTTTTTACCCACATAACCTATTCTGAAATATCTCTCGACTGATTGTCATTTAGCTATTTTTGTAATCATTATTATTGTAAACAAACTAAACTTTAAAATATTCATCTAGCTTTCGCTTTCAGTTATAGAAGTTTCAGCTGTGTTTTCTTGGTTTCTTGCGATTTTTTAAAGCTTTCTTTCTTTAGCTTTCTTGGTCACTCATCCAAAATTTCCTTTCTCAAAGCTTTTCTCAAAGTTTACGATAAATTTTGCTCATTTCCAGATCACATGAGCACACCGAGATAAGGAAATTTCAGTGTTTTAAGAGAAATAGAGAAATGCGGTCATTTCTCAACATTTTTTAAAGCTAATTATGTTGATTTGTTGGAAATTTGTTTGAAACAGAGCAAGATTCCATTGTTTGTTCAAGATTTTTCAAATAATTAGCTAAATTCTGTCATTTTTATATCTTTTTTTTTGACTTTTTGACATTTTGACATCATTTTCTTTTTACTTAGTAACAATTGAGTAATAATTTCAACAAGTTTGATGATTGATTCACAGAATATGAGCTTGCGTTTGGCTTGATCAGTTTAAGGGTTCAAGTTGATTGGCTTTGTATTGTCTTAGCCTCAAAAATCGGTCAGCTTGATTGATTCTGAGTTTGATGAACCGTATCAGATACAGGAATCGGTTCTTTGTTAAGCCCAGAAGATCCAAAATTAGCTTGTTAGCACGGTTTTCTTTTGAAACTTCATTCTGATATCTGTTCTAACAAGTTACTTGTTGACATTGACACTTGCTGCTATAACAAGTTACTTCCTCAACTCAAAAGCAGGGCCCGGGTCTACGTTTACGGTAATTTATCAAGAGCCAAAAAGTAGAAGAAAAGTGAAAAGAAAAAAAAGTAGAAAGTGACTCGATTCATTTTTTGGTCACTCGTATTTCGCCCTCTTCAATCGTCCGAAATTTCTTGAATGGTTCGATCAATTGAAACACGCTTTAGCCTATTTTGTAAAGGAGATTTACAACTTTCAAATAGTTTATAACATTCATCGATATCAGGTTTCTATCGTTGGGAATTTATGAAAATGTTGAAATTCGCATTTCTTATGCATGTACCTAATAAAAAAACTAGAGGACCCAAAAAGTTTGCTAAATTTAGCAGTTGATGGACTCGGGCCCAGAATCTGTCAGAGATGTTGTTATCTAGCCAATCAAAATCAAATCAAGGATCAATAATACCATAGAGACATGAATGAAAAGATAGTAAAAGTTCTAATTTCATATAAAAGATTGTTTTATGAAATTAGAGTTAGAGTGAAATTAGGTTCGAGGGTTCGAAAATCTGCTTTGCTTGAAATCAGGTTACCCAAAAGCAAAGCGACTATGATATGAGAAAGGGAGTGAGTCAGTTTTTTTGTCGAAGATACAGTAGAAAAAAATTGATAGATGATAGCTCTCGAAGAGTTTTTGCATTAAGGAAAAAAACCCAAAGAAATCCGGGTTAGAAGAAATTCCTTTTTTGGTCACTCGCATTTCGGCCTCGAAATTTCTTCAATGGTTCGATCAATTGAAACACGTTTTAGCCTATTTTGTAGAGGAGATTTACAACTTTCAAATAGTTTATAACATTCATCGATATCAGGTTTCTATCGTTGGAAATTTGTGAAAATGTTCAAATCCGGATTTCTTATGTATGTACCTTGATTGGCTAGATAACAAAATCATCTCTGACAGATTCTGGGCCCGGGTGTACCAACTGCTAGATTTAGCAAACTTTTTGGGTCCTCGAGTTTTGCTAAATCAAATCAAGGATCGAATTTTGATAATGCTATAGAGACATGACATGAACAGACATGAACTAATCATATTTTCATCAGAAACAAATATTCTTTCAAAGAATGGACCGTTTCCTTTTCTCATTTGCCTCTTTCCTCTTCCATTCCTATATCTGCCCTTGAAACAGCGATCTTTCTTCATTTCCTCTCCAATCCTTTTCTCTTTTCATATCTCTCTTTTGTGTGCCACGTCGTTTCCCCTTTCCAGTCGACACTATTTGTGCCCTTCTTCTTCTTTCAAACAAACCATCCCCCTTTTCTCCAATAGATTTTCTATTCTATTTGCTTTTCAAAACTAAAATATCGATATTGTTGCTAATTTTTGGAATTCTATTGTTCTATTTTAATTCCATTGCCAAGAAATATCGATTTCTAGCATAATAATTTGGTAAGTCGTTTTTGAGTTCAATCTAGAGCAGACTTTCATCCTAAACAACCCTCAAAACCAGCCATTTCATCGCCATAATTTGGTAAGTCGTTTTTGAGTTCAATCTAGAGCAGACTTTCATCCCAAACAACCCTCAAAACCGGCCATTTAGAAAGGTTAAGCTTTACAAATGAAAACTACCGGCTATTTCATCAGAATATCGCCTAGGACCATGCCTAAATCAATTTTTAAAATTTTGAAGCTCTTCTATACATGTACTCAAGCCTGTAAGACGTCTTGAGTAGCTTCTCGTAGCTACTGGAACTCGTTAGCTATATCTAAAGCTATTAGTAACTATTCATAGCAAACAAAATAGTAATTACCTAGGATAAACAATGAAATCAACCAAGTGATGAAGCTGAGCAAGATCCACAGCCTAATAAAAGATATTTAATGGTGAACAAAAGCTCCCTACAGAAAGCTCTAAGCTCTAAGCGTCTCTGCAACGTGCACATCAAGCAATTCTTCTAATTTCTCTTTACTTCTAATTCATTTCTAATTTCTCTTTACTGCAATTTGCAATTTGCAATTTGTGAAACCTTTGCTTCTAATTTTGAAAACAAAATCAAATCTTAAATTGAGTCATTATTTTGAAGCAATCATCCAAAAGATAGCGCTCTTTTGCTTCGATAGCACAATAGCAAAGAAAAACTTCGATAGCACAGAGAGTTTTCTCTGTGCCTAATCATTTTCCGATTCCCTTTCGTGAGCATCGATTTTGCTTGTCCTTTCGAAATGGCTTGTACTTGAATTACTTTTTTTTGGCGACTAAAATATTTACAATGCTTTCTAACTTGTTCACTTTCAAAGTATCTAGATTTTTGAATCTTTCAACCGAATTAAACCTATCAGATGATGTAAATATTAAAAGAGAACTAGAGAACTAAAACTCGAAAACTAAAACTAGATTTAGCACAATTTTTAGCCAGATCGGTCGGCTAAAAGAAAAATTAGGGCCATTAGAAGCTTCGTAAGTAAAAAGCTATTATTAAGTCCTTATATGAAGACAGATTAAGTCTCACTCTCTCACTTTCTTTTAGCCGATCGGACGATCGGGCTAAAAATTCGAATATAAGTGTAAAAATGTTATAGAAATGAAAAGATCACGAACTTTAAGTAATATTCTGATACATTCTCGACTTAATCTGTTTTTATATAAGGCGTGACACATATTATGGGCCACCGTGTATACAGAAGTACTCAACTATAAACCCACTTGACTATAAAGCGCTCTCGCCAGTGCCAATCGTGCTCTCTGCCCTCCACTCAACGCCAATCCTCGATCACCGACAATATTTTGATCACCGTTTTGAATCTCAGCAAGATCCTAAGTTCCTTTGATTGATCACCAATTCCCTGACTCACTTGTTTCAACGCTGACATCTCGATAAGTATCGACAATCTCGATAACTTCCGCATAAAGCTCAGCATTGTATGCTTTTCCGAAAAGAACATTGTCTCGAATCGAAAGCTTCATTTCGAAATCGATTCTTAAGCCAATGTCTTCTCCTTGTTAGCCAAAGAAAAGAGTCGAATTTGGCTTACGAAGCGAAATAATTCATAGCTTTCTCGAAATAGCTTCTCAAACAATTGTACTTTCCATCTTTTCCACACTTTAATGCCAATTTTTTAGATATCCACCAATTCTTGGTGAAAAATCGCGGTATCCTGTTGAATCTGATCGAGAAAGCGCTCCTCAACAACGAGAAAATGCCGTCCGAATCCGAGGTAATTCATCAAAAACCAAACTTTCTATTATCCAAAAAAACAAAACCAAAATTTCAGCTCAATTTCAAAAGTATTTTGGTGTCAAAAGAAACAAAAGAAAATCTCTCTCTCGAATCTGTCAAAACTATCAAAACTATCAAACCAATCAATATTTTGGTCTCTCTCAACCATCTCTACTGTAGCCAAAAAACGAGAATTTCCCTGAGGAATGCAAATTTTGATGAAAATTGAAGAGAAAGGTAGATAAGATGAAAAGAAAATGAAAAGAAAATGAAATGGAAAACCCGCAAGAGGGTCAAGAATGAGGAGAAGACTGCAACAAACCAACAAACCTGCAACAAACCTTGAACTTTCAAAATAAAACAGCAAGAAACAACAGAAACGAAGATTTTGACTCGAGTTTTGACTTGAGTTTTACCCATTTTACCCAGTTTTACCCAAATTCAAAGCCTAACCAATCTCTTTTTGTGTGATCATTAACATTGGTGAAGGATCTTCTAAAAAAACCTTAAAAATTCTCTTACTAATCTTTCTCTAAAGATTCTCTAAGGATTCTCTAAAGATTCTCTAAGGATTCTCTAGAGGATTCTCTAAAGATTCTCTAAGGATTCTCTAAGGATTCTCTAAAGATTCTCTAAGGATTCTCTAAGGATTCTCTAAAGATTCTCTAAGGATTCTCTAAGGATTCTCTAAAGATTCTCTAAGGATTCTCTAAGGATTCTCTAAAGATTCTCTAAGGATTCTCTAAGGATTCTCTAAAGATTCTCTAAAGATTCTCTAAGGATTCTCTAAGGATTCTCTAAAGATTCTCTAAGGATTCTCTAAGGATTCTCTAAGGATTCTCTAAAGATTCTCTAAGAGTTCTCTAAAGCTTCTCTAAAGATTCTCTAAAGATTCTCTAAGAATTCTCTAAAGCTTCTCTAAAGATTCTCTAAAGATTCTCTAAGAATTCTCTAAAGATTCTCTAAGAGTTCTCTAAAGATTCTCTAAAGATTCTCTAAAGACTCTCTAAGGATTCTCTAAAGATTCTCTAAGAGTTCTCTAAAGATTCTCTAAAGATTCTCTAAGGATTCTCTAGAGATTCTCAAAAGATTCTCTAAAGACTCTCTAAGGATTCTCAAAAGATTCTCTAAAGACTCTCTAAGGATTCTCTAAAGATTCTCTAAAGACTCTCTAAGGATTCTCTAAGGATTCTCTAAAGATTCTCTAAAGAGTCTCTAAAGATTCTTCAATCTGACTTCTCTTTTAGAACTTCTAGAACTTCTTTTCCATGATATAATAGGGATTTACGTTGGGTTGACATTTGACAGCTGACAGCTCGTTTTTGACATTTACTTTGTACTCAAAAGTGTAAACACACCTTTCCTGGTGCTTTAAAAGTCTAGAAAGTCCAAATCAGTCAAGGCTTTAGAAGAATTGAGTACGGCAAAGTTATGTGTGATTCATTCTTGTGTTTGTCGCATTCTCGTTCTGGTGGGGTAAATCAAAAGTACACCAGAATATGTGTGTTTCCATTTTTGAGCACAAAGTTTATTGCAAAACATTACTAACGATAAGTAGAGATTTATCTTCTAACTCTACTTTAGCAAACTCGAATCGCGAGGGATAACAAGTTGAGAAGCCCGAGCTCGTCGAGGGGAACTCCGTCAGTGAATGGAAAAGAGTGGGTGGAGAACTTTCAAAAGTCATTTCTGTGAATGGCCTGGCTAGAAAGTCTATTAGTCTGGCTAGAAAGTCTATTAGTCTGGCTAGAAAGTCTATCAGCCTGGCTAGAAAGTCATTTCGCGATTCTTTTCTAAACCACCAGATATTATAAAAACTCTTTTATAACTTTCTTCTAATAAAAATATTAGAAGAAAGGATTCTTTCTAAACCGCGATTCTTTTCTAAGCCGCGATATGTTTGGTTATGTAAACGACTACCAAACATAACTTAACTTAAGTTAAGTTATGTTTCGTAGTCGCTTTGGTTTAAAAATTTGAGTGAAGCGAAAAGACTTTCCGCATAGCTTAATAAATGTTCAGGCTCAAAAAAACGTAACCAAATTGTTTTCAGCAGTCGCCGTAGCATCAATTCGAACTCTGGAAGCCCACCGCCGCGTCGTGATCGATCAGAGAAGAAATCAAGAAAGAGAACACCCAGCCGATCAAGGAGTCGCTCAAGAAGTCGCTCACGCACTCGCAGGTAGAATTTGTCTACTTAAATGTCTACTCAATATAATGACCAATGGTAGATCCAATGTTAGATCAATCAGAGCCAATTGTAGATCAATTCCTGAATTTGTCATTTATAAAAGCTCGTAGAAAAAAGTGCCTGAACTGGGCCAATTTAATCGATTCTACAAGGTGACCGCAAATTATGGTGACACCTTTTTTAGAAAAGTTGCTGGCAAACGCTTGACTTATTATCAAAGTGTCAAGTGTTATATAGAAAAATAATGTCCTTTATCTTGGCTTCATTTATATACAAAAAGCTTGGTGATTGGAGTTATACAACTCATTTTACAAGCTCTCGAATGAACTCAAGTCGGCGATCTCGCTTCTCTCCGGCAAGATTTTTAACAATCTTTTATTAAGAAAAGTGTCAAAAATGGCATCTCGCCGGAGAGAGGTCGACTTGAGCTCCTTCGAGAGCTTGTAAAATGAGTTGTATAACTCCAATCTTCAACCTTTTTGTAGATAAATGATGCCAAGATAAAGGGCTTTATTTTTCTATATAACACTTAACACTTTGATAATAAGTCAAGCGTTTGCCAGCAACTTTTCTAAAAAAGGTGTCATCATAATTCACCCTGTAGTCCATTGAGCAGGCTTTAGCTCTTATAGTCAACCTAGTGCTCAAGAGAAATTGTTTTTGAATGAAAAGAGAAGTGTTATGTGAACTGAAGACGATTTGTATTGTGCTGTAGTTGCTCGAAATACTTTAGCTTGGTTGAAAGCTAGAAAGAAAACTTGGTTGAAACGATTGCCTATAGCAGGGGAAAACGCTCACTAACCTTCGCGTTTTCCACGCAATCTAAGCCTGCCAATGGCATTGCCAATGGCACACAGACGGACGGACAGATGTCTTTTCTGCTTTATATATAGTAGATAATTTCTATGATAGGATAAATGGCTCGAAGAGTCCGAAAATCTTCTTGAAAGGCCGAAGAGTCGATGAAACAAATGGGTAAAAAATTTCGCTTTTGTTTGTTCGTTTTTATTTGTGGATCAACTACATAAAAACTTCCAAGAAACGACATTTTAAAACTCCAGAAACAACAATCCCTTTGATTTGGGCGTTCTGTCAGTGGGTGAACAGTAAAAGCTCTTTATAGCTGAGTTGTTCTAGACTCCTTGCTGTATGGAGCTTTGACTATGTTTGGGGAAATCATTTGGGTGAAGAAAACTGGGATTAAGTTGCTATAATTTCTATGATTGCAATGATTGCAATGATTGCAATGATTGCAATGATTGCAATGATTGCAATGATTGCAATGATTGCAATGATTGCAATGATTGCTAGGATTGCTATGGTTCCTATGATTTCTCTCGGTTTCAGCAACACGTATTCACCGGTGCCCCGGCGTCACTCAACCTCTTCACGATCTTCTCGATCTCATCTCCCACCACCCTCACAAGTCCATTATGGACGTGGGCGTTATCGGTGAGTAAAC